CGTTTTCGGATCAAATTAGAGTGTCGGGACGTTTTCAGCCTTCTTACTCGGAGCGAGTCAGTATTTGACTCGGACCGAGTCAGTATTTGACTCGGACCGAGTCAGTTCCATGCGAGTCGAAGCCCAGAAAGTGTTTTGGGCTTGGCTGATGTTTTGACTCGGTCGAGTCAAAGTTTTGACTCGGACCGAGTCAATACTAAATGGGCCGAGTCAAGAGTTGACAATGGGCTTGGGCTGATTCGTTCTGACTCGACCGAGTCAGACATCTGACTTGGACCGAGTCAATACTCGGAAAAAGTCTCTTTTCACAAGGATTAGGGTTTGTATCTTATAAGGAGGTGTTGGACGCCGTCCTAAGGAGAGAATTGACTTACAGAACCCTAAGACAGACCTAGAACAAAAGAAAATCGTTTCTTTTGAGGTTCTAGTTCCTGAGATTCGATCCCAAGTCTTGAAAAACCCTATTCACTTCACAGATCCTAGCAGATCAGTTCCAAAAACGTTTGGAATCCTTCCCGTCGGTGTGGATACGTGTAGAGGAGCTGTACTTTCAGCTCTTGGTGATTAAAACAGGCCCTGGATCGATTGCTACTTTCAGATCTTCAGGAAAGAGGTAAGTATTCGATTCCTACGGTGATATACACGATTAAACGGGGTTTTACGGATGATTTTGGTTGCGTGTGACGTTTGACTAGGTTTAGATTATCCTTCCGCTGCATGAAACCTAGTAAACCAAACCCTAGATCGATATGATCGCATGCTAGGAATCCGTAGCGAACCCCAACAATCACATCTTCCATATGCACCATTTTGAACTATATTTAACCATAATAATTGAGTTATTCGAATTTTGTGTGCAAAAGTAGTTCTCACAAATGTGATACATTAGTGTTCATAGTCTTTTATGAAGAATTTTGACAATTTTGGTCTTTTTACATTACAAACTCGTCTTAATGTTTTGTAATTTTGTCATCAACATAATATTTGTGTTCTTTATACCTTATAATAATAAACCAAAGCTTGAAAAGTACGTTTCCACATGTATTTACCTTCGTCACTTGGTCACAGGTCACATCCGGTCACAATGGTCACATAGTGTAAAATTGCACATTGGTCACATTGGTCACATGCTGGTCACATGGGACCCAACCGCTACTCATATGAGATAAATTATTTACTGTTTTTTAATATGTAGAATGGAACCAAAGTATTATAATGCATTATTTTAATACATTATTATACAAAGGTCTTAATGTTTTAGTGTACAGATATAATATAACATTATTATACAATTTATATTTCTTTATTCATTCAAAATTAGGGTTTCTCTCAAACTTTTTTGATGTTGATATTCCTGTTGGGATATGGATCTGCTTTCGGACTTCACTAGGACCTGAAAAAAGGTTTTGTTTAGGTCTTCCACTTTTTCGTTTGTCTTCCAATTTCTTTGTACCCCTCATAGCTTTACTTGATTCTGATACGGGTTTGTAACTATGCAAAAGATTGTGTTTTCTTACACTCCAATATTTCGAATTTAAAATCAATGTCGTACGCAACTTCCAATTACAGCCGGATCTAGTAACTTCCAACACTCTTTGGTTTTTCATCCCATTTCCTTCTCATTCATATTCTCCATTCTTATTCACTATCCATTTACCATCATACAAAAAATATACAATTGTCGATCTCTCATCTCGTCCATCTATAATAGTTATAGAAAACATAAATACAAAATGCATATCAATTCGACTATTCTGGACACAGTGACCATATGAATATAGTATCATGTGACCATTATTACCATTTCTCACTATTCTTGACTATGTAATCATATGAACATAGTACCATGTGATAATTATTACCATTCGACCATTTAATTTAAACTCATATGACCATTATTATCAATCCGACTATTATGGAGATCATGTGATCGTGTGACCATGTGAACCTGGTACCATGTGACCATGTGAACCTGGTACCATGTGACCATGTAAACATGGTACAATGTGACCATGTGAATCTAGTACCATCCAAATTAGATCTATGACAATAACATACAACAAATGACAAAACTTCACAAACATCACCAAATAGAAGAAAAGAAGTGGAAAAAACACCATTCTTCATCAAAATAACACCCACAACCATCAATGTGTATGAAAAATAATAAGATTTTCGCAATTGATTATTTATTTCCAACTCTTCACTAATTTTTCACTGATTTTGTTTTGATTTCGAGTGATTTTGATAAAAAAATCAGAAGAGAGAGAAAGTGTAGGAGAGAGAGAGTCATCAAATTCGATGAGAGAGAGTGGTAGGAGAGAGAAACTCAAAAAAAGAGGAGAGAGAAACCGAAAAGGAGAGGAGAGAGAAAAATTCTACATTTTAGGAGGGATATTTTTTATTAAAAAATTTATATAATATAATATATTAAGGGTATTTTAGTCATTATGTATTGAAGAGGGTATAATAAGTTGAAATTTTTTTTTTAGGAGAAGGATATGAGTGGATGTTGATTTAGCACATTGAAGATATAATAGAAGTTACCCAATTAAATATAGACTTAGTATGATACAGGGGTAAAATAGGCAATGTATATGTTGGGGGAAAAACCCAAAAATTACATTAGCTTAGTTTTGAGATTGTATATAAGATTAAACTCTTGATATGAATGGAGGGCAGACTTTGATCTCATTATCAACTCTTGGAGGAAAGGCACGTTGAATGCCTTGTGTTTTGTTGATTTCCCTTTGATAATCAGCGACTAATCACGTGTTGGAGACTCGGATTTCATCAATTGGTATCAGAGCCTAAATCCGGCGGAGAGAAATTAATTTCTGAACCCTTCGAATGAACAGTGTGTGAAGAACAAGAAGCAGAATCATGGCGTTGAACGTCAGAAGCAAGGGACAGCAGTGGAGCTCAGACAGAGATGGCGGACGCTTATTCATAGGAGGCCAGTTGAACCTTGGGCAGAACACGAACGAAATCCCGCCGCCCATAGCAGTCGCAAACCTGACTGAAGCACTTTGCGCCATCGCCGACATAAGCACGCAGATGGCAGAGTTTATGTGGAAATGGACCGTGTTTGGGCAACAGTTGATTCGAGCCCTAGCAAACCAGACAAAGGTGGAGGCGAACGGCGTGATGAATGAACGGAGTGCGAACCCAGAAGTTACAGTAGTGATCGAACCAAACTCTAGGGGGGCGGTGAAAGCTGAAGAGACAATAACAGACCAAACTCCAACAGAAGGAGAAAGTAAGCGATCAGGAACAGGTCATCAGGTTCGCTTGAACGACCTGATCGGGAGTGAGAAAAATCAGCGTGGGCAGTTCGGGTTGGGGAAAAGTTCAACCAGACCGAACCCGATGACCGATTTCGGATCTGAGAATGCTGAATTGTGTGCGTTTGAGGGAGATAACTTGGATTGTTCGATGCAGGTGAAGCGAAAAAAGACCTGCCAAGTGTTTGATAAAATGACCAAGAAGAAGAAGAAGAAAAAAGAAGCCATTGATGGACTGATCAAGTGCAAGGGCTTCAGGCTTGAAGCCGAAGAGAGTAATTGGAGAGGCTGCGCGACAAGAACTACAGCTGTTCTACGGGGGAAGCTTGGGAGGAAGAGTATGGCTGATAAAGTGGTCGCTGAAAGAAGTTTCAGTCTCCGATTTTACAGATTTGGGCGAATGGTCTGGATCCAAAAGGAGGAGGTTAACAATGCTGAAGTATTCCTTGTTGTTGGTTTCTATCAGCAGTCCTCTCGTAGCAAATTCGGGGTGCGACAAGCCGACGAGGTTAAAGGAACAGATGTTGATCGTTATGCTTATGGGCAGCCCGCGAGCCAAGAGGGCTTGCTTGGCGTGATTTCGACTTTCGGCAATGATGCGGCTGTCCTAAGCAGATCAGTTACAGCAACTAAGAGTTCTCTTATTTGCAAGTATTTGATGAAGTTAACTCAGGGAAATGGGTTTGTTGGTCCCCCACATTGTCCACCTTCTTGGCACTATGTGGGTAGAATCGGTTCTCTTTCCCATAATACGTCTATGGGTGCATCCCAAAAGGTTGATCAGCCTAATCACACTGCCAGTTCTATCTCTTCGCAAGTAGAAATATTAAACAAGGAAGATGAAGACATGGATGTTTCAAGTATCAGAGAAGAGATGATTGAATCGTTAATCCTTGGCATGAGGGGCACGGTCAGCATGTTCGTCGCGTTGGAGGAGCCCAGACACGTGGCCATGGACTTATGCTCTAGGTCTTTGTCATCCGAAGGCGACCACGGAGCGGCACCCGAGCCGCGACCGTCAATAACCCTTTCGATGTCGGCAGTTATCGGCGTGAGACCACAAGTTCGAAGATGCTGCGCAAAGGTGGAGCAACGTTACCGACATTCGCGATAACGACCGAATTAGATAAACCTAACATTCTAAAGGGTGGTTTTGTTCAGCTGTTTTATTGCAAGTTGGCTGTTGAGGAATCTGGTTTCCAGCTGCTGGGTTGTATAATGGTGCAGATTTATTTAATCTATGTGTGGGATTGAGTTTTCATGGCAGTCGGTTTGAATTCGAGGACATGAAGGGTCTGATCAGAATTGATGCAAGAACACTTTTTGCGTCATCTTTGAACACTTCGTTGGCAAAAGTTGTTTCTCTTGCGGAGATTTCACTGTTGAAGCCATTGCACGCAATACTTCTGCGAATTGATGGAGAAATCATGATTGACTTGGAACCTCCTAAATCTGATGACCCCACTTCGATTCCTGTAGGGGTAGTTCATTCGCAGAAATTCGTCGTTCAGACCAATTCCGGGTTGCAATCTCCACCAGGGGGTGACATAGGTGCTTGCTGCGATATAGTGGGGAAAGATGTGAACAAACTCACTCTTTTCGTGTGTGAAATGGCTAGGCTGACTGAAACGACAATTACCCCCATTTCTGGAAGGAATTCGTCCGTTTGTATGAACGGTTGGAACCCTAAAGCTGCAAAAACAACAGACTGTTAGCTAGTGAAACCATGGGGAAATCTCTTACAAACTGCATTGTTCTAAGTGAATCACGTCCAGCCGTCCAAACTCTTCTCTGTAGAACCTTACAAGGTGAGGGAGACAAAAATATAATGCAAACGCAGAGAAGATTCAGGAACGGTCAGCCGGATTCTTCTGCTGAACGTGTTCTGATCAATGGTTCTACAAGACGGGATCATACAAACAAGGTCAGCGGTGGTGATCTTATCGGTCAGGATCTCACCGATGAGAAAACAATGACGGATCAATTCATCAGACTGCAAGGTGATTACATGCCTGTTTTTCAAGGTCCTAACCTGATAATTTCACTAAGATTTGATTCAGGTGGGAATACCTACTGTTCAGAAAGGAATGCAACCATGGGAAAGCTTATTGGCTGGCCAAAGCTCGAAGGTAATCATGGGAGAGCTGGCAAGGAAACAAGGAGAATCTCCAGCGTCTCAACGAAATGGATTTTATAGAACAGAAAATCAAGAATCCTCTCAATCGGATCCGATCTACTCATAAACTTTTCAAGGCCCCCAATATCTCAGAAAATCGGAAACAGTTTCTTGAGGATAGTGACACATGTGAGAGATATGTGACTACGATAATCAAGAGCACGAACTTGATAAGTGTTCAGTTCCAGAGGGCTATCGAACAAGAGGACAGAAAGGGGATGCAACCCATGCCTTGGCATTTACTCGGGACAAGAGGTACTAAACTGATGAAAGAATTTGCCACTGTTTCACGTCACTTGGGAGCTAGTGGAGACGATCGAGGCACAATTTCCCAACTTTCACCTTGAGGACAAGGTGAAACTCGAGGAGGGAGTATTGATAGACATGGTAATTAAATATAGACTTAGTATGATACAGGGGTAAGATAGGCAATGTATATGTTGGGGGGAAAACCCTAAAATTACATTAGTGAAGCTTTCTGATTTAAAATCTTTGTTTCCAGAATTTGTGTTTTCAATTTGGAATGAGAATTCAGGAGAGATTGATCATAATCAAATCCTTGACCTTTTTACTTACATACATAACGTATAAAATACAGACTTCAATAAAAACTTTTTTTAGTAACTGACATAAACTGAAATACAATAACTGCATCATAATCTTATCCAACTTTCTGAAACTTATAAAACACACAAACTTCTTTTTCTTCTGCACAAGTCTTGAACCATTTGAGCTACATCTGTCAACACTCCTCCTTGGTTTGAGACTTGTTGCAAATTCCCAGCATATCCCTTAACTTCTCAAATCGATTTGGATGGAACGCCTTTGTAAACATGTCGGCTTTCTGATCTTCAGTCCTACAGTAAACCAACAATACTTCATCCTCTTGCTGTGCTACTCGGAGAAAATAATATTTGATCTTGAAATGTTTTGTCTTTCCATAAAAGACAGGATTCTGAGAAATCGCTATAGCAGCCTGATTATCAATCATAATCTTGGTTGGACTACTGCATTCCATCTTCAAATCTTTCAGCAATTTCCTGAGCCAAATGGCTTGGTTCGTTGCTTCTGTTGCCGCCACAAACTCTGCTTCTGCAGTTGTCTTCTGTCCCCGCCACAAACTCTGCTTCTGCAGTTGATTGAGCAACAATGCTCTGTTTCTTCGAGCTCCAACAGAAACAGCCTGATCCGAAAGAAAAACAGTAACCTGAGATACTCTTCATGTCATCTGGAGAGCCACCCCAGTCGCTATCAACATATCCAATCAAACCGAAGTTCTGAGATTTACAGAACTCGATTCCAAATGACTGTGTTCCCTTCAGATACCTTAGAACCCTTTTCGCTGCGATCATATGAGTCTTCTTAGCACAATTCAAGTACCTTGCCAATGTATTGACTGCAAACAAGATATCTGGTCGTGTTGCTGTCAAATACATCAAACACCCAATCAAACTTCTGTAATTTCCTTCATCAGCAGATTCTTCACCTTCGAACTTCTGAAACTTCATCTTTTGCTCCAGAGGTGTTTTTGAACTTTTGCAATCATCCAAATTAAACCTCTGAAGAATCTTGTCAAGGTACTTCTTTTGGCTTATGAAGATCCTCTCATGGGTTTGTCTAACTTCCAAACCCAGGAACTGCGACATGAGTCCGAGATTTGTCATCTCAAACTCTCTGCCCAGCAAATTCTGCACTTTTCCGATCTCTTCTTCATCTTCTCCTGTAACAAGTATATCATCCACATATATGGATACAATGACCACTGCTTTTCTTCCACACTTGATATACATAGTGTGTTCACTCAAACTTCTGCCAAAGCCCAAGTTCCTGAGACATTGATCGATCTTCTCATACCAAGTTCTTGGAGCCTGTTTCAGGCCATAAAGCGCTTTCTTCAACAGATAGACTTTATCCTCAGCTCCTTCAATGATGAAACCTTCAGGTTGATCAATGTATGTCTCTTCCTTCAATTCTCCATTTAGAAATGCTGATTTAACATCCATATGCATCACTCTCCAACCCTTTTGAGCAGAAATGGCCAGCAACAATCTGACAGTATCCAATCTCGCCATTGGTGCAAATGTTTCTGAATAATCAATTCCCCAAACTTGTGAGTACCCTTTCACCACAAGTCTGGCCTTGTGCTTGTTAATGGTTCCATCTGAATTCAGCTTCGTTCTGTATACCCATTTCACACCTATCACCTTTTTGTTTACAGGACTGTCAACTAATAACCAAGTCCCATTCTTGGTTATCATGTCAATCTCTTCCTGCATTGCCAATCTCCATTTCTGGTCTTGTTTTGCTTCTTCATACCCTGCAGGTTCCAGCAGAGCAGTGTTGCATCTCTCATATATTTCTTCCAAAGATCTTGTTCCACGAACTGGTATGTCATCAAGTTCATACACAAATTCTTGAACCTCGATCTCCTCCTGTGGATTGACTTCTGTACTACCTTCTTCACGTGTAGTTTCCTCAGCATCTGACCAATCCCACTTCTTATTTTCGAGAAACTTTACATCTCTACTTACTATAACTCGATTTGAGTTTGGTAAGTAGATTCTGTAAGCTTTCGAAATAAGGCTGTACCCAACAAATATACCCATTTCAGACTTTTCATCCAATTTGTCTCTCTTGACATCTGGTATGTAAGAGAAACAAACACAACCAAACACCTTGAAATTGGCACAGCTTGGTTTTCTGCCATACCAAACTTCAAATGGAGTTTGTTTGTATAAAGCTCTTGTTGTCACTCTGTTGAGGATGAATACCGCAGTGTTCGACGCTTCAGCCCAGAATTTCTTCGGCAAATCTTTCTCAAACAGAAGACATCTTCCCATTTCGACAATTGTTCTGTTCTTGCGTTCACTTACGCCATTCTGTTGAGGAGCATATGGAACAGAAAACTGATGCTTGATTCCAGCACTTTCACATATGTTTTTGAACTTGCTTGAGGTGTATTCAGTCCCATTATCTGACCTTAACACCTTGATACTTGTTCCACTCTCATTTTCGACTTCGTTTTTAAACTTCTGAAAAATTCCTTCAACTTCTGATTTCTGTTTCATGAAAAATATCCAGCACATACGGGAATAATCATCAATAAACGTTATAAAGTACTTGCTTCCAGTGAGTGATTCCACCGGCATGGGACCACACACATCAGTGTGTATAAGCTGGAGTTTTTCATTTGCTCTCCAAGTAGAGGAGCCAAAAGGTAACCTGCTGTGTTTGCCCAATGGACAAACTCTGCAATCTATAATTTCGATCTGCTTCTCTGGTAATCCAAAAATCATATTATACCTGATCATGTGTGAGATACCTTTTCCATGAAAGTGTCCCAACCTTTTATGCCAGATTTCCTCTTCTGACATTTGAGATGATAAAGCTTTGCAGCCTTCATCATCAGGTTTGAATGAGAAGCTTTAATCCTTCATCTTTATTCTGAACAGATTCTGATTTGTATCATTTCCAATGATACATTCTGCCTTTTCGAATAAAACTATGTACCCTTTAGTGATCAATTGTGCCACACTCAACAGATTTTGATCAATAAGAGGTACGCACAAAACTTCAAACAGAATCTTAGTACATGCTGTAGTTTTTATCAAAACATCTCCTTTACCTTCTGCCTTAATATACTCGCCATTTCCAACTTTCACCTTCGAACTGAAAGAAGTATCCAAATGCTGAAACAAACTTCGATCCCCTGTCATGTGGTTTGTACACCCACTATCCACAAGCCAGCCTTCCTTAACAGAGTTAGAGGTAAAACACGATGCAACAAACATATTATCGGTGTCACCTGAATTTGCAGCCTTTGCTTCTTGATTTTGCTGAGTTTGACTTCTGCAAATCTCTCAATATGCCCGAATTTACCACGAGCCCTGCATTTGACATTTGGATTCTTCCAACAGCGCCAATGGGGATGCCCTTTCTTGTTGCAATGCTTGCACAAATCAGTGAAGAAGTTGTAATTAGCATTTGCAGACTGACTTGATTCACCCTGCTTCGGAACATCATCATTCTGCTGCTTCTTCTTCTTTTGCTTCTTCTTCTCTGAGTCCTTACCTTTTGACTTTGCTTGCATTACACCTTCTGTGGATCCCCCAGTCCTCATTTTTCTCCTCTGTTCCTGTGCTTGAAGAGCACTTATTATCTCTGGAAGCTTCATGTCTGAGAGTTTCTTTGTGTTCTCCAACGTGGAAATAGTTGCCTCGAATCTTTCAGGAATAGATACAAGGATTTTCTGTGTTATCTTGGCATCATCAACATCTGTGCCAAGGATTCGCACATTATTGATGATACTTACAAGACGTTCAGCATAATCCGTGATCGTTTCATCCTCCTTCATTTGTTGTCTTTCAAAATCTCTCAGTAGATTCAGCCCTTTCATGTTGTTCACCTTCTCATCCCCTTCATACTCAGTTTTCAGAAAATCCCACATTAATTTTGCTGATCCCAACTTCATGATTTTAATGAGAACATTGGGTGTCACAGTAGAAAATATGCAGGATTTGGCTTTGGCTTTCTTGATAACATTCTCTCTGTGATTCCGCATTTGAGCCACCGTAGGATTCTGTGGTAAAGGAGAAATTTCGCCTTCTTCCATAGCCACTTCCCACAGATCTGCTCCTTCCATGTAAGCCTGCATCCTCACAGCCCATATCTGATAGCCATCGCCACCGAAAACTGGTGGAGAATTTGTCTGATTTGAAGATACAGACGTGTCTCCTTGCTCCATGATTCTTCACAGGTCCGCAACAATCTCCTTGCTCTGATACCACTGAAGCTTTCTGATTTAAAATCTTTGTTTCCAGAATTTGTGTTTTCAATTTGGAATGAGAATTCAGGAGAGATTGATCATAATCAAATCCTTGACCTTTTTACTTACATACATAACGTATAAAATACAGACTTCAATACAAACTTCTTTTAGTAACTGACATAAACTGAAATACAATAACTGCATCATAATCTTATCCAACTTTCTGAAACTTATAAAACACACAAACTTCTTTTTCTTCTGCACAAGTCTTGAACCATTTGAGCTACATCTGTCAACAATTAGCTTAGTTTTGAGATTGTATATAAGATTAAACCCTTGATATGAATGGAGGGCAGACTTTGATCTCATTATCAACTCTTGGAGGAAAGGCACCTCGAATGCCTTCGGTTTTGTTGATTTCCCTTTGATAATCAGCAACTAATCACGTGTTGGAGACTCGGGTTTCCATCAGTACATGACATTCGTGATAGGGAGAGAGGAGTGGTGTGGGAAGAGAGCATAGTAATGGCTCCGAAGAATTCCCGTTTTGTGTTTCTATCAGCTACTGTGCCCAATGCCAAAGAATTTGCCGATTGGGTTGCAAAGGTGATTACCCTTGCTAACACCTCTAGATTTTGCTCTCTTGTATGAATGTATCAATAATATGTATTGCGATATCTCTCCTTCATGTCAACTTGTGATTTTGGCTGTAGTGCTTTTGTTCGTTTGTGTGATT